GGGAGGAGCCATCAGCTGACGGTGGCCCTCGGTGGCAGTGGTGTGCGGGGCTGGTAGCACAGGGTGCCAGCTTACACGAGCTCTCCCAGGACGTGTGACGGAGCTCACATCGCTTCCCGGTGGGAGCCGCCACAGCTCCCAGCTGGCAGCGTAGTGGAGTCTGATGTGTCTGTGGACGTCACTCTGGCTGTGTGAGTGGGCTGGAGGAGAGCAGGGGACGGTGAGGTGTCCAGAGGATAGACGTGGCCTGGAGGGGGCGGGCTCACAGGACATGAGGCTTGCTGCTCTCAAATAGCCAAGTTCCTTATTTTTCCACAAAGTCTCCTGCTACTCTTTGTGGGTATGTGTGAGCGAGAGGGGAAAGAGAGCGCGAGAGAGGTATTCTTGTTAGTCTCACCCGTCCTGACCCTCCTGCCAGCCTCCTGCTAATGAGGCCCTGGAAGGTGAGCCCAGGAATCGAGCCGAGCCTCCATATGGCCTCGGGCCATGCAGTGACACTTTCCCACTTGCACCACCATGGTTGGGCCAGCTGTGACCTTGATGCAAATACAACTCAGAAAGATAAGACACCACAGTGCCCGCACACCCTCACACGCACCCCGGGTCCCAGAGTACTCGGCATGTCGAAGCGCTGGCCCCCTTGCTGTCTGAAAGCCTTTTCACCCCAAGTCTGCCTTTCGCCTGTGTTAAGCTACTTCATTGTGTTTAGGGCTAGGAGAAATTTTGAAACCATGTTAAATAAAACCTCATCTGTAGGGACCAGCAGGTGGTGGGTGGTTAAGGGTGCTGGGCTCCCACATAGCCAACTGTGGTTCGAGTCCTGGACCTGGCGACTTGTTCTCTCTCTCTCTGTCCCTCTCTGGTCAGATTGAAATAAATAAATGAATAAGTAAATAAAGTTAAATAAAATAATTTAAAAACAACCGCATCCATAAAGATAAGCTACTAAATCACACATTATTTTGCAGTAATATAAGCTTAAGTCATGTTAAATAAAACTTACATAAATACAACTTCTTTTTTAAAAACATTTCCAAGAAAGCATGTGTGCTCACCAGAGAGAAGGGAGGGGAAAAGCACCCAGTGGTCGCGCCATGCCCCCTCCGTCTGTCTGTTTACCCCATCAGGACGAGGGCACACATGGGCTGTGTTCCAGCTCTTAGGGTGGGATTCAGACCGTTGTGGGTCATGTGGGATCGGGCTGCCCTCACCGCCAGGCCAGGAAGATGGCCCAAATGAGACTTCTCCCGCATCCATATCGCCCCATCTCATGTCTGGGTGCAGTCCGTCCTCTCGAGCTGCTGTCCCCACTGTCCCTCTCCTGCGCCAGGTAGCACCCTGTCCCCCACATGGTGGAAGATGGCTTTTGTCAGCCACCTGCACTCGGTCAGCAGGCAGAGGCTGCAGTGGCTGTCACTGTCCCCCCCGGGCGCTCCTGCACCTGGCCCGGCATACCAGTGACCAGCTTGTGCTGGCGGCTGGCGCCGACACAGGAGCTGTCCTGCGGTGTTCTGTTTGGTGCTGGATTTTCTTTTCTTTTCTTTGAAATGTATTTCCTTCATGAGAGAGGGAGAAGAAGAGAAAGAGACACCTCGACGGTGCCCTCACACCCCAGTCCTCTCCTACCTCCCTAGCCAGGATCTCCATGGCCGTGTCCTTGTGCTCAGGCAGCCCAGGACGTGAGCCCAGAGCCTCCCCCGTGGCCCCCAGCAGGGCTGCCGCCCACCACAGGGTCTGGTTTCGCCGAGTCTCTCCTCGCTCTCTAGGCACCCGCATCGTTAGTGCGTTGAGCCTCGCCCCGCACCGCGCTGAGCTGTGGGTGTGGCTTGCTGTTGGAGACATCTAATTTTTTTTATACTTTTAATCACTATATTGTTACAGCTTGCAAATGGATTTTCCCAGCACGAGTACACCGCATACTAGTCCCCTTAAAGATTTTTTTTTTGGAGAGGTTTTTGCTATAGGGCGTGTGCGCTCACCAGCAAGATAGGGACACAGAGACAGAAAGCGAGAAATTACCCCCCAGGGGAGATGGCCACACCACAATCCCTTCTCCTCCGTTCTCCTTTCAGGATCTTGGGCACACATGCACATGCGCCCAGCATGAGTTTAAGCTACTGGGACTCGAACTGCGATCGACTACATAGGAGTCCAGCGACATAGCCATTATGCCAACTGCTGGTCCCAAAGATATTATTATATCATACACGTTATCATCAGCAGATAGTGTTCCATTTTCATGTCCCTAAAATGTTTTGTGGAGTCATTTTAAAATAGATGATGAACTTGTAGCTACCTACTAGACCACGCGCTCTTTGTTTTCTGACTCCTCTGACTTCTTACCCTACTTGGGCTTATCTTCTTCACTCTAAGTGATTGCAGTTGTTATAAACCACCTGAGGGCTGCAGCATCCTACAGATGTTGAGCTTAACTAAACCCTATCACGGTCACGCATCCCCGCTGGGACCCTGCAGACCCACAGCGGCCTCGAGTCAGGGACGGCCACACACACAGCGTTGCAAGCTCCCCTGTCCCACCAAAGCTGCTCTTTCAGGACTCTTCTCTCGAGTCCGTCACAAAAATTCCTCCTGTTTTAAATACTGCCTTGCAAATGGCATGGAGGTTAAGTTGCTAGATCCCAGGTGGCCAGCTGCACAGTGTAAGTTCCAGACCTGGGACCAGCAGTTGGCGTAATGGCTATGTTGCTGGACTCCCATGTAGCCGACTGCGGTTCGAGTCCTGGACCCAGTGGCTTAGACTCACGCCAGGCACGTGTGCGTGCATGCCCAAGATCCCTAGAGGAGAAAGGAGGAGAAGGGATTGCGGCGTGGCCGCGTGGCGGGGGGTGATTTCTCACTGTCTGTCTCTCTCTGTGTGTCTCTCCAGTAAGCACATGCACCCTATAGCAAAAATCTCCCTCAGAAAAAAGAAAAAGAAAACGTGCTAGGTGCGAGTACATGTGTGCCCAAAATCTCGAGAGGAGAACAGAGGAGTAGGGATTTCGGGTTAAATGGAGAGCGATTTCTTACCCCTGCCCTGTCTCCCCCTCTCTCTGGCAAGCACACACTCCCTATAAGAAAACTACGGGGAACCAGCAGTTAGCGTAATGGCTATGTCGCTGGACTCCCACGTAGTCGACTGCGGTTTGCGTCCCAGACCTGGTGGCTTAAACTCATGCTGGGCGCGTGTGCATGCGTGCCCAAGATCCCGAGAGGAGAATGGAGGAGAAGGGATTGCGGCGTGACCATCCCCCCTGGGGGGTGATTTCTTGCTTTCTGTCTCTCTGTCTCTGTCTGTCTGGCGAGCACACGCACCCTATAGCGAAAAACCTCTCCAAAAAAAAAAAAAAGAAAAGAAAAACTACGTAAACACGTAGACACACATGCACGTGCTACCCGAGCAGACTCCACGGTGTGCAGCAGTGAGGCGGAGCACTCCTCAAAGCCGACCATAGAGGTCCCAGGTTCGTGTGGAGACCTGAGCACGCCGGGACGCGGTGCCCACCATCTGGGACTGCCGCCGCGGGGGTGGGTTCCAGCATGAAGACCCTGCTGGTGCCTCTGTCTCTTTGACTCGTGAAATAAAGAAACCGAGAAACTTAATTAAAAAAAGAAAACAAAAAAAATGAACTGGTTACTACTGGGCACTCTAAAATGCTATTGAGATACTTGAATATCTTGCCAGAATAGTCATTAAAACCTATTATCCTAATCTAGTCACGGTAAGTATTTTTTTGTAGAGGCTGTTGACGAACATTGATGTGTGTTTTCATGACTTAAAACGAAGGTTCAATTCCAGTGAAGGGCTCTGTTACCCCTCACCTGCCAAGACGGCATTTCGGTTCCTGTGGCCAGCTTCCGACGCCTCTGTCCTCCAGGGCAGTGAACCGAGACGCATCCCCTCGGTTTCGCTGGGAGGCGCGGCTTGGGTGGCTCCCCCTGGCACAGGTGTGGTCATGATGCAGGGGCGCTTCCCCACAGCCCGCCCTGCGTGCACGTGAGGCCGCCCCTCGGATGGGCACGGTGGACTGCACTCCCACGCTGCGTCCACCCACAGCGGCTGGGGCTCCCTTCGCCTCTCCAGTCTGCTGTCTTCATCCGACTGACCACACTTGTGCCGCTAGACACTTTCCGAAGCTGTTTCTCAAATGCATCGGTGACCTCCAGACACGGGAATGTTCTCACTGAAACAGCACGCTCTAAAGACCCGTTGACTTTGGAATCCAGAGAAGTGAGACAGTGTCTGAGCTACCTGTCAGGGCATTCTCAGCTCTGGGCCCATCCCTGCGCTTTCCGGAAGACTCGGCCCTGCCTAGTGGTCCTCGCCCCCCGAGCTGTGGCCGCTCTTCAGAGCTTCGGGGCCGAGGGTACTGTCGCATTTCTGTGCTCCTCTTTCTCTGAAGCACTCTCTTTCCTTTGTATAAATTAACTTTGTAGTAAATACGATTTTCTCATGGTCTGATAATCAAAAAATTACAGCAAGAATAGTTCCTTCGACCCTGTCAACACTGGCCGCTGACTCTTTAATGTGTGTACTTGAAGGGCCTCGGAAATTTCCGCTTGCTCAGACGGAATCGCTTCTGTTGAAAATGCGGTCCGTGGCAAGTGACGAGCTCCACGTGATGATGCAGCGGAGACTGAGCCAGGAGGGCCCCAGCCAGGCCACCGAGATGGAGCTCGTCCAGAGACTGCAGAGGCTCGTCGTCCTGGCAGTCAACAGGATCGTCTACCAAGGTGGGACTTCGCAGAGATGGTTCTTTCGATGTCAGATTAAAATAAATAGTGTAGACAAAGTGGTCACATTTCAAGGTTGAGACTTTTTTGCCATAGGGTGTGTGTATTTGCCAGAGAGAGATAGAAGGAGGGAAAGTGAGAAATCAACCCCCAGAGGGTGGCCATGCCACGATCCTTCTCCTCCATTCTCCTCTCAGGAATTTGGGCATGCACACACACGCTGCTGGTGTGAATTTCAAGCTGCCAGAACTGGGACTCAAACTGTGGTTAGCCTTACAAGAGCCCAGCACCTTAACCGCCGTGCCACCTGCTGGCCCCTGCACATTTCAGGTTCTTAAATGCCATCATTCTTCATTTCTTAACATCCAGTTGACTAAAAGTTCCTTCTTTGGAGCTGAGAGTCTGGCATGGAAGTCTGATAGTTGCTCCGTAAGTGCCAGGCTGTACCGACCACCGAGTTCAGACAGCTTTTCTAGTGACTTCCTTTGAGAGTCGCAGTTTCCTGGGCAACTGTCCAGAAGCAGGACAGACCAGGCCTCTGCCCGTCACCCAGCTCAGCTCGTCCGGCCTCATAAACCGTGGCCCCGTGCTGCTCCTGGGGGTGACATCATGGTCAGGAGCAGGCCGTGGCCACCACCATGGGAGCCCTCACATTGCCCTCTGCGGCCACATCCTAACCCTCCACCCCTTCCACCCTTCGTACTCATACTGTGAGTGGGGCCTCAGAACCCAGCCTCTCAGTGCTGTCTCTGCACCACTCAGCATCGTGACCTGGAGAGTCATCCTGGTTGTCGGGGCGTCCGAAGCTCGTAATGCCCTTTAAGCCCGTGGTAATCCGTGAGTGGGTGTGTGTGCCGCAACTGGACCCCCATTGTTGAGGCCACCTGGTAGTAGCTTCCCCTGTTTGACTCACAGGGCTGTGCACACTGGCATGCGGGTTCTGAGTGAGCGCAAGTCCTCCTTGTCTGGGTCAGTGCAGGAGTGTGGTGCTGGTCAGAGGCAGCAGCCTGTTCACTGGGCAGCAAACCGCAGACTCCAGCGTGGCCGCGCACCTCCCCTCTGCCAGCCGTGCGTGGGAGAGCCAGCATTTCTTCTGTCCTCCAGGGTCTGAGGTCTTACTGCTACTTAGCTCAGCCGTGTTGCTGGGTGTGTACTGATCATCTCCTTGTGGGTTAATCTGCATTTCCACTGCGGCTAGTTACCTTTCTCCGTGCACACATGCTCACACCGTGCACCGCGATACCTGAGCAAGCACAGAGATAGCGAGGCAAGGCACAGCACACACAGAGTTCTCGCTGTGCACGCAGCAGGCAGCCCGCAGCGGTCACTCCAGAATGCATAGTGTGTGAGACACCGTGTCACACAGCTCACACGTACAGTTTCTGCGTCGTCATACCTCGTGTGTGTGCGTGTGCGTGTGAATGCACGCACGTGTGTCTAAAGCACTGCAGGTAAGTCGGAGTGGAGAGCCGGCTGTGCAGCACAGTGGCTCGGCCTCGTGTGTAGAGAGCCAGACTCCACATGGCCGACGGGGTGTCGAGTCCAGTCCTGGCAGCGTGCACTTTGAAGCCAGGCACGTGTGCTCAGAATCCTGACGACGGAGAAGTGGAGGAAGGGACCGCCCCGAGACCACATCCCACTGGGGAGTGCCTTCTCTCCTTGCTCCTCTTTTGTCTCTCTGTGGTGAGCACATGCACCCTCTGGCAATTAAAAGGGGAAACAAAAAAGGAGAAGTCAAAAGGGGGTTCTGGAAAAAGTTCAGAGAAGCCCAAGGCAGGAAGAAGAGAACAGTTGCTGTTAATCGGTAGGAGACTTGATGAACCCAGATGTTCACTTTTACCATTTCTAACTTGCATCTGGAGCAGCAGCTTCCAGGACGAGCTCGGGAATGGCCGTGTCTCTCCCGCGCTCACATCTCACTGGCCGTGCGCCCAGTGGGACAGCTCTGTGGCTCCTTACTGTGAACATCACGGTGGACATGTGGCACATGCCACCATGGCATGCCACTCAGCAAAAGAGAACCGGCTTATTTTTTAAATTAAAAAATAATTTTTTAATTATTTTATTTAACTTTGTTTATTCATTCATTAATTTATTTCAGTTTGACCACAGAGGGATAGAATGAGAGAGAAAAAGAGAGAGAGAGAGAGAGAGAGAAAGCAGGCCGGGTCTGGGCCTCAAACCACAATCAGCCATGTGGGAGTTCAGCATCCTTAACCACCAAGCCACCTGCTGGCCCCCAAAAATAATTTTTAACACGCCTTATGTGTCTATTTGTTTTTAATTTGCCATAGGGCATGCGTGCTTGCTGGAGAGAAAGACAGCGAGAAAGAGGAAAGTGAAAAACTCGCTCACAGGAGTGGAGGGGTAATCACACCACAGTCCCATTTCCTTCACCCTCCTCTTAGGATGTTGGGTATACACGCACATGCAGAAGCCTGGTGTGTTTTTCAAGCTACCAGGTCCGAGACTTGAACCGTGCAGCCGGCCATGTTGGATCCAGCTACTTTTACCACCATGCCACCTGCTGGCCTCAGGAATGGGCTTTTGACACACCAAATGTGTTTGGTTTGCACAGAACTTCATGGTTTCGATATTTGCAGTTTAACTCATCTTCATTAGTAAATTATTCTTTTAATTTAGAATTGCATGACTAAGTGTTTTTAATTTCTAATTCACTTTCTCTAATACACTCTATGTGTTACTAGTACCAGCTACACATGTGCCCTGTGCTAACTGAAGGTAACCACGTAGCGCATTTTTACCAGCGTTGCTACCATGTCCAGGTACGAGTTATTTACCTGACTTTTTAAACTTCTTGTTTGTTTCAGAGTTTAATTCCGACATTTTTGATATTCTGAGTACTCCAGAAACTACAACGCAGGGCAAGCTGTCCGCTCCCCAGACTGACGTCGCTCAGGGAGGCACTCGTCGTCAGCAACCTTCTGTTTTCAATCCGTTTCAGAAAGAAATGTTCTCCTATCTGGTGGAAGGATGCAAAGTCTGCATTGTAAGTACCTCAGCGATGGGGACGTGTCGTTCGCGGGGGAGGACGGACTCGAAGTGGCTGTCCTCGGCCTTCCATGCCATGTCTTGGTGTTCTTTCAGAGAGCTTTGAAACCCAGACAACCTAGAGTTCAATCACAGAGGAGTACATAGTGCTGGCTCCGCTCCCCAGAGCCTAACTTCACGCAGCTCTGGTTTCCGGGCCTGCCCCTCAAAGCCGTAGCCTGTGTCACAGCTTAGGGAGTCAGCCAGGAGGGTGGGGAGGTCACACCGGCCGCCTGTTCGTACAGGACATTCCTCAGAGCTGCTTGTTCTTGACTTCCTGAATTGTTACCAAGTGTCGATCTTGGCTTAAATGTTTCACGGCACCTTCAAAAAATGAGGAGTGAGAGAGAATACTGAGACTCCTCCAGCTGCGTTTGTGACCGTCTCCCAGGGGTTTCTGGGGCCTGCTCATGCCTGGCGGTAGGGAACAAGTGGGGGTGCTCGCTCGGTCCAGTCTCAGCGGGGCTCACGCGTCGTGACTTGCCCGTCCACTCACCTAGGCTAGAGCATGGCATCTGTGTGGACAGTGAGACAAGCTGCATGTTCACTTAGAACTGAACCTCTCACACAGGGCTCTGGGCCCGGGAGTCACTGGAGAGTTGGTTCCAATCACAGCGTGAGCCCTGGAGTGAGCTGAGCCCGGTTCCACGCCGGAACCGGCCACCACACCACCGGTGCGAACGGGCCAGCCTTAGCGGGGCCGTGGTGGAGACGTTTTCAGCTGTTAGTTAGGAGCACTGATGGGCAACTTCAATGCACTTTTAACTTGTGGTACTAATTCTTTATTTAGGAATCTTTTCTCTTGTATATTGCAAAATCATGGCCTACCTATGTTCTTTGACAGTTTTTCAAATGTGTAATTTCTAAACCCTTGGTAATTTTTCTTCAAGGTTTTGGTTTTGGGGGTCATTCTGTTTGCCATAGGGTGCATGTGCTTGCCAGACAGAGACAGAGAGAGACGGGAGATGCCGTACCACTATCCCTTCTCCGCCATTTTCCTCCTGGGATTTCGGCAACACACACACACAGGCGCCTGGCATGAGTTTCAAGCCTCCAGGTCCGGAACTCAGACTATGGTCAGCCATGTGGGAGTCCGGCACCTTAACCACCTGCCACCAATTGACTCACCCTTGGTACATTTTTAAGTGGTTTAAGACTTGAGCTTTTTCATCCATCTCTTTTTCTTTTAATTATGGTAAAATATACTTAACATAAAATTTATCATTTTAAGCATTTTCAAGAGTACAATTTGGGGCTCGCAGGTGGCTTAGTGGTTAGGGTAATGTATTCCCACATGTCCAGTTGTGGTTCAAGTCCCAGACCCAGCAGTTTGAAAAGCACATTGGGTGCATGTACATACATGCCCTGAATCCCAAGAGAATAATGGAGGAGAAGGGATTATGAGGTGGCCATCCCCGCTAGGGGGTGATTTCTCACTTTCCCTCTCACTGTACTTCTCTGTCTATCTCTAGAGAGTGCAAGCACCTATGGCAAAAACCTTCATTTAAAAGGATTGGGAGGGGTGCAGCAGTTGGCTCCGTGGTGAGGTCACTGCACTTCCTCAGGGCCGACCGTGGTTTGGAGTCCTAGACCCAGTAACTTCAAAGTCACGCCGGTGCATGTCCATGCATGGCCAAGACCCCGGGAGGAGAATGGAGAAGGGATTGTGGTGTGGCCATCCCCCTGGGAGGTGATTTCTCACTCTGCCCACCTCGCTCGCTCGCTCGGGTGAGCGCACGTGCCCTAAAGCGAGACCTTGAAACCTGGAAGGTGCAGTTCTTTGGTGTTAAGCACACTTATACTGCTTGTCTCCAGGGCGGTTTCAGAGCCCCGAACCGACAGTCCACATTCACTAAACAGTGACCCCCGTAGCCCACCCCAGCCTGAGGACCCCATCTCTACAGGATTGGCTATTCCAGGTACCTTGTACACAGAGGAATTTGGCCATTCTACACCTACGGGAGGTAGGCAGGATCTGCCCTGTGTGTGGCTAATGGCGTTTGGCGTAATCTCTGAGGATTCATCCACGCTGAAGCATGTATGAGAACTAATTGGCTTTGGAGGATAAATAATACTGCATTGTATTTAGCTTCTCCATTCGAACAAACCCAGGATAAAACTTCCGTGACCTTCTCTGGGGCTCTGTAGAGGTTAGCATCCTATTCCTGAAAAAGTCTGATCCTAATTAACTCCTGTTTTGATTTAAGGCTTCAAGTAAAAGCAGTGGTTCTAAGCAGCAGTGGACTAAGATCCTGTGGTCCTGTAAGGAGACCTTCCGAATGCAGCTTGGGAGGCTATTAGTACATATTTTGTCACCAGCCCACACCACACAGGAGAGAAAGCAAATTTTTGAAATAATTCATGAACCGGATCATCAGGAAATACTGCGTGACTGTCTCAGCCCGTCCCTCCCAGTGAGTACCCACATCTCAAGGCTTCAGGGAAGACAGACTTTTACAAAGCAGGAACTGGAGTCAGACCAGACAGGGGCGCGACGGTAAAACGTGATGTTCTGTGAGGAATCCGAACTGCGGGGGGGTGGCCAGTTCACGTCCAGAGACCTCCCTGGCCACAGGAGGCACCCGCGAGCCTATGGTCCAGGGCTGGCAGGGGCTGCTGGTTGTCGTGGTGCCGAGACTCTGTTGACCTAATGTCTCTCTCTCTCCCTCATGGAAAAAATGAAAACACTTAAAAAGAAACTTTAAAAAATAATTGAAATGAAACTGTATTCTTTTTTCTTTTTTTTGGAGAGATTGTTTTTGGCTATAGGGCACGTGCGCCTACCAGAAAAAAAAGAGAGAGACAGAGAGACAGAGAGCGAGAAATCACCCCCCCCACTGGGGTGTGGCCACACCGCAATCCCTTCTCCTCCATTCTCCTCTCGGGATCTTGGGCACGCACGCACACGTGCCCAGCGTGAGTTTAAGCCACTGGGTCCAGGACTCAAACCGCAGTTGACTACGTGGGAGTCCAGCGACACAGCCATTATGCCAACTGCTGGTCCCATAAACTGTATTCTGATGCCTGATGCCTCGGATTTCCTTTTTTGGATTTATTGATTTATTATTTATTTATTTATTTATTATTTATCATTTAGCTTTGCCATAGAGCACTTGCGCTCACTGGAGACAGAGGAAAGAGAAACCCCACCATGACCCCATCACGGCCCGATCTCCGCTGCTCTCCTCTCCAGATTTTGGGCACGCACGCACGTGCGCCCGGCCTGATTTTCAGCACAGTGGCCACGTGGAGTCTCGTGCCTTAGCCACCAAACCATCTGCTGGCTCCACGTGCACTTTTCTTGTATTGTATCAAAACTCAGATTTTTCTTCAAAGCTTTATACAAATTTAATCGACACCTTTATTTCATAGTTCTTTTTCTAGTGCTTAAACGAAGACGTTCTCTGAGTTCCTATGTGAACTTAATCATCTATTACTAAATCCTGAAATTTGTTTAAAGAACTGTTTAGAGGCTTTTAACAACGCTGTATTATCCTGGGCTGACTGGTGGCATGGGCACAGGGGTTAAGGCAGCTGCATTCCACATGGCCAGCTGCACAGTTTGAGGCCCACCCAGAACTGGCACCTTGGGAAAAAGGAAGAGAAAACAAAACACCGGGCGTGTGTGCATCCGGCCCAAATCCCACCAGGGCAATGAAGGAGGCAGGGCTGTGGCGTGGCCAGTCCCTCGGGGGTGCTTTTTCACTTTACTTTTACCATTCTGTGTCTCTCTAGCAAGCACATGTGCTCTATGACAAAATTTTTAAATAGTTTTGCGTTGTCTGTGTAGCATGTATATTGAATAGCTCAGATATATATTGCAAAGCACATGTACAGTTATTTAAAATAGAAAAAAAATAAAGGTCCATCAGTTGGAATGATCCAAAAATACCTAGAGCCAGCTTTGTGTGGCCGAGGTCTTCAGGGGAGAGATGGAGGAGAACGGGTCTCGGCATGCCAGTCCCCGTGAGCGGGACGCTGTGTCACGTTCTCTCTCTCCTCTTTCTGTCTCTTGGAGCATATGGCCAATTTTTTTTAAAAAACAAAGTATTTAAAATAGTTTTATTTGGTCATGCCATCAATTTCTACCAACTAGGATTTTTTTTTTTTTTCTGGAGAGGTTTTTGCTATAGGGCACATGCACTCACCAGAGAGCCAGAAAGCGAGAAATCACCCCCCGGGGAGGATGGCCATGCCACAAGCGCTTC